CAAAACCTGGAAACTTAAAACGAAATTTGGCTTCTGCCAACAGATTTAGTAACCCTGGCACATGGCTCTTGAAACAACACATTGTATCTTAGATATTGAGAAACCATTGCTCTACCTAAAGACATCATCCTTAATGACTTGGAGGTTTGAGAGTTCACTACAAGAACCCTTGCTTGGTTGTCACCCCAAAACTACACAGTTTTATTTTTGAATTGACCTGGCCCCAACTGAACTGCAACCACCATAGGGAAGAGTTTGAGGAAAGTAAGGTCATGTCCAACCCGTAATGATCCACTCTTGGGGCCATCTCACAGCTGCCCACAGACCCTTCCAATATGGCCAAAACCATGTGCACCTGAATCATCGTAGTATACCTGGAGGTCCGCCTTTTAAAGCATTTTTGACCTCTAAAAGGATGCTCAATTAAATTGACCCAAAATTGATTACCAAACCCTCAAATTGGCTCCAATCCTGCTAGTAATTCTAAAATGGAGATGTGGAGCGCAAACCCCTTTAGTAGCATTGTAAAGGTGAGCAAAAAGTCTCATCCATGAACAATAACTTTACAGGCAATTTTTAACAACCCAGTAAGGGTTTGAAATTCACTAAGTGTGGCCTTATTCCTACTGCTCATTATCCTCTCATGGAGTCTTTTTGCTTCGAGTTTTTCTACTGAGAGGCGAGAAATTTACTTAACTGAGTCTAACTCAATGTCCAAGAAGGCCAGACGGGTGCCAGGACCCACCGTCCTTTCCTCATCTAAAGGAACTCCCATCTCAGTCCTCACCTCACAGTTAGCAGTTATTCATTATTTCTTGGTAGTTTAAAAAAATCAGGAGCCCTGGACTGGTCTTTTTGTCTGTATATGATAAATCCTATCATCCAATTTAGAAAGTTTATTTCTAACATAGTACGCTTGTGGGCCTTAAATTCTTTAGGAAGACTGAACACAACCCTATCTTTACCATAATTTGCAGCTCAGGGTCACAAAAAGTAAAAGAAAATAGGTCTATAAATTATCCTTACTATAGTCTCTCCTTGGTAAAGAGGAGAAGGTGAGATCCCAAGGACGTTGACATCCCCTCATAGGGGTTGCACTCCACTAACCTATTGACTCCAGCCAAACCCAAGGCTCCCACTGTGCCCAAAGGCCTTCCATCACTTACCTTGGTAACTGTAATCTGATCAGCACTCACACAGTGGCCAACTGGGCTAGCAGAGAACCACACTGAAGTGGGCCTGAAAGTTGTAGCATTAAAAGATGGGGACAAAACTGT